ATAGAGCAAAGAATCTATCGTATTACGGGTGCCTAATTATCTAAATTATATATGAAATATTCAACTCACTCATGGTTTAAAAATGACCCACCATTTTCATTCTGTATATATAGTTGAGTCAAACCCTCTGGCTCATCAACCGTTCTTCTGGCTCCGCCATTGTGCATACACACACATGTGATCGAGAATATAAACACTAAAGTTATAGAAATATCATAGTTATATGAACCTATTCTATTTTAAAATTAGAAATATCACAATTTAAGTAAATCACATAAAAACAAAATCAAATTCGATTTTAGTTTAAAAAACTTCTTATTTTTAATACCACTAATTGGTTAAAAGTCAATACTTATGGAGATATTACCCGAAACAGGACTAAAAAGGTTCGAAAATTCCAAAATAGGACTGTCATGTTTTTATTCCCAAAATAAGACTAATTACTGCCATGTTTTGGCAGTACTAGACTTCAAACATGGCAGTATTTTCCAAACTTGACAGTAATTACTCCTATTTTGGGAATAAAAAACATGACAGTCTTGTTTTGGAATTTTCAAACCTTTTTAATCTTATTTTGGGAACTTTTGCATACTTATGCTTTAAATCTCATCTAATAAGCGGTCGCTTCCCCCTCTTCTCTAATACTACGTATGTAAGGTTTTGACATCCGCCGATCATTCGTGTGGCACTTAAAACTTTTCCTTTTGATTTCTTTCCTATGTATTTGGATTTGTTTTTGAGCAAGGTGATCTCGTTGAAGGGGCTTAGATACGCTTGTCATATGTTTGTCCTGAATAAAGCTTTTCCCAACTCAACTTATTTTTTCGATCTTATTTTAACTTAAAATATCGTTTGATCTATAAGTATTCTATTTCTATATAATTTATTTTCATATTCCTACAATGAAACATAGTTTTTAAATATATATAAACTTTTTAGGATGTATATTAACATTTTTAGAGACTAAAAAGCACAAATTTCTTAATTTATCAACAAATTATTTTACAAAAAAAAACCGAAAAGCATTTAAAAGCACCCATATACTAGCTTCCAATTTTTGACTTTTAAGTGCTTAATTTAAGTAGAAGTTCGCATTCGAAAATACTCCTTTCTATTTTTTTAAACCAAAAGTTGATAAGTGTTTTTTTAATCTATAGCAAACATTATATTCCCTATGTTGAAAGACTAACATGCATATACAATGACATACTCCGCAATACATACTAGTATACGACGTATTTAATAAATTCCCCCTATTTCCAATTGAGAGTGGTCTATTTGATAAGACCTCCCCCTAATATTGGGTCGGAAGAAAGTAGTGTGGTTTAAAAAAAAATTATGTGGTTGATAATGAGTTGATAAAATGAGAATAAAGTAAGAATGAATTAGAGCTACACAAATGTTACCAAATATGGTATGAGACAATAATAAAGGGACATCAAAAAATGAAAAAATGGGACAATGATTTAGAGTTACGCAAATGTTACCAAATATAGTATGTTGTAATAATCGAACCAGATTAGGCGAGTCAATCCAGAATCGGGCGACCCAACATCTAATTCGGTCCGGCTACCTACTAAACCACTAATATGGCATAACCCTTTAAAACCCGATGATGACCCTTATGTCTGCCTAGATCAGACCCAGAGCGGGTGAAACCCGGAAATCCGGGAGATCAAACAAAAATTATATCCTATCTTGACAAATTAGAGTTGAACCTGTGCCTACATAATGGAATATATAAGGGATTCCATCCTCCCAAACACGTGAGCGGGTAAAATATATGGTGCAACCGGCTATATTAAACCGGAATGGTAAAATTACAAATTACAAATTTGTAATTTGTTCCAACTTCAACGCGATTGTTCCTTCAACTGCTTGCTCGGTGCTTTACTTTCTTTTCTTTTCTCTTTTTTCTTTTCTTTTCTCGTTGCTTTGGCTTCTCCTTCAATTCGCTGTTGGTTCGTTGCTTCTTTCTCTTTCCTTATTTACTTGTTGCTTTTTGTTTCTTTATTCTTCTCTTTGACAATCTTGTACATAAAAATTTTTATTCACTTATTATGAAAATGTATTATATATATACGAGTATTATTTAATGATTGAGCTTTTTCCTTTTCCAATCAAGGTTTTAACTTAAGTTTTTTTAGTTTGTGCATTATAAAATATTTTAAGTATTAATGTTTGTTTTTTCTATTTTTAATTTTACAATGAATATTTATTAGTTTATTACATTATTGTATGTTAATTACTAACATGATTTTTGTGTTGTACTAAAATGAGTATAGTTTAAAATAAATGTGCATGAGAAAATATTATAAAAACTACTCCGTAATACACATGTATTTGTAATTCAAGAACAAAAGACTATAAAGTATTTTTAATACAACATTTTTTATATTTTTCATTGATACATATAATGATAGTTTATTAAATTGTTAATAACTGATCTACTTGATGTACATATTATAAAATGGAGTTTATGTTATATTTAAATGAGTATAACGATTAAAAAATGAGCATACCTAATTGATTGTTTGAACACATTAGAGAATTCAAATGAGCTTTTGAATTTTTTAATGCTCATTTTGTAAGTTACGTATGCTCATATGTTACTGGTTTTATACTCATTTTAAAATGATATATTATTGCATATTTCAAAAGTACCATATAACATTTTCATATGGTAAGTAATGTATGCTCATTTTGTACTGGTATTATGGTCATTCTAAATAATTAATTATGAGTATAATATTTAAATTAAATGTGCATTTAATATAAGGAATTGGTTGGTCTGGAATAAGGAAAATTGGTGTTATAATACTCATTTTAAAATGTGCATTAGACCATACATTTTAAAATGTCATATTCATGCATATATATTGGTGTAATACTCATTTCCTAGGTTATGCATTCTCATTTAATATTTGAGCATACTAGAGATTTTAAATGAGCTTTTTGAATTTTTCGATACTCATTTTGTAAGTATGTATGCTCATTTTATATTGGTGTAATACTCATTTTGTAAGTTACGTATGCTCATTTGGTATTGACGTTATGCTCATTTTGAAATTAGTATATTAATGCATATTTCAAAACTATCATATTATATTAGATTTGCATACAAAAATTAATAAGAGTTGAGTGTAGATATAATTTAATAAGTTTTTATTAAAGAAAAAATAAGAAAAAGAAAGTGAAATAAAAGATATGAAGCAGAGATCACGTTTCTCATTGTTAGGCTCCTAATACTCAATATAATATTTTGATGCTCACTAAAAGTGCATTAATACTCATTTCACGGAAGTCGCGAATTTTAGTTAAATTATTAAAATGCCACCGGCTGTGTACAACTAATTTAAATTACTTAAATTATTAAAATGCTCACTGTAAACTAATGTTTCGTATGCTTTCATAGGAGTAAAAAACAAAAAAACAGATTAATAATAGCGTTGCACGCACTAATGAGTTTTACTCCTAGTTGAGGAATTACCCCTTTGAGCATTCGATTTTTGAACAGAGGCTAAAAAAAATTGGGGCCGGCTACAATAAGAATGAACTTTGCGTTCAGGGTGATTTCCCAATATACGGGAAAAGTTAACATTGGTTGCCAAATTACGGGAAAAAAACTAGGTTTTCCAAAAAAGGGGAGTCGGATTTGGGTGTTCCGACCAGAGTTAGGGTTTCAGAAAAAGTAATTTTTCTATTTTAAATCCTTGTCGGATTTGGGTGTTCCGACCATAGGTGGGCTAGCTTTTTGTTTTAATGTCAATTACGATTTTAAAGTGTCACTTTATTTATTTGTTTGTAATTTTTAAAAGTTATTTATTTCTACAACTCGGTACTAAATTATAAAAGTAATCATCCGTATTGTGAAATAAATTTATAAAATGAAATATAAATTTGATTTTTTTAAAATGCAATATATGTAATTTAATGGAAGTGAACATGCCAAATGTAGTTTTTAATGTAATTCCATTAATAAATTTGTACATACAATAATAAATTTAATTCTACATCTAACGTTGGGTGCTCGGCCCTGGCATGTCCTCGCCATGTCGGGGTGTAGCCTGTCGCCGGCACAACGTGAGAAAGGTTCCCGACACATGACATCCTTTGTTTTTCGAAATACAGCGTGTATACACTATTATGTTTGTCCGCCCACCTTGTCAAGACATATGTTGATACGGCGGAACGACTAGTATGATGATCATTACCCTGCTCAATTTATGTGATTAGATTTATCTGATTAAAATTTATCTGATTAAACTTTATTTGATTAGATTTATCTTATTAAAATTTATCTGATTAAACTTATCTCTTTTAATTTATCTATTTCATTTTATCTGATTAAATTTATCTGATTAAGATTTATTTGATTAAAATTTATTTGATTAAATTTATATGATTAGATTCATCTGATTAAGATTTATAAGATTAAAATTTATCTGATTAAATTTATCTGAACAAATTTATCTGATTAGATTAATCTAATTAAAATTGAACACCTACATAAATATTATACTTGGATCCAAATATTTGGCTTTTATTGTTCAATCAATAATTTGTAGAAAAAGAAAAGGATCTACCTAGTTGGATTTTTTTTTTAAAGGCCATAGTTGGATCTACCAATTCCGAAAGGAGGGAAAAGAAATTGAGCAAATCTTTGTAGTCGGATTTACCAATTCCGACAAGAGGTGTCCAATGAAAATATAACTCTAGTCGGAACACGGAATTCCGACTCCCTTAATTTGGTAACCTAATTGCAATTCCCGTATTTTGGCGTGTCAGACCTAAAATTCCCGTATTTTGGTAATTTCCTCGTTCAACTGCTTGGTATGACGTAGTGTACTTCCTCTCGATCATCATGTCTTGTCGCCATATATAGTGCATACGCACATGGCTGTACCTACCTGGCTGAGAATGGTAAATGCAAGTCCCATTCCGTTTGCTGCTATTCTTCGATTCTCCAAATTAGTTCAATAAAGATGTATGTAGTGCATGCATCGTTATGGAAAGGATAGTAAATGACGATCGATGCTTTTCATTAAATGAGTCAAGTTTTATATAGCTAGCTGTGAGCCTGGGACGGCCATCATCATCACTTCCATCACATTTTATCTAAGGCATTTGTTTTCTGCTCAACCTAACTAGGCTTGCTTCAATATTCAACATGGCGAGAGTTCTACTTCCCAGTTTTGGGACTCTCGATCCGTTCATTTGAAATACGTCAAAGGGGCATTGGAAAAAGGGGCTGGTTCGTTCCGAGCAACTGTTTTTCATTTAATATTTATTTATTACGTACGTAGTAAATGTTTATGATCAGTTAGTATGTATATATTTCCCTCAAAAAATATTTTACAGTTACACGGGCCTTCAGATAGCTAGAAATTAAGGTTCATTGTTTTACTTCGATACGTACTGATCGACGGATATTAACATGCAGTTTGTTTGGATGGTAGTCCGGCTGCATACTACCATGACAAAGGGGTAGGCGATGGGCGTCACAATTGGGTTATTTACCTTCAAGTAAGTCTTTCAAATCTATTCTTATATTAATTAAATGATGATGAAATTAAACATATACGTAGTATATATGTGCATGAAAGTTGGATTATATTTTAGTACTCCGTACACGGTACATCCCTGAAGGTATGTTTTGGAGTTAGAGTTTGAAGGAAAGCGGAGAGTTGATTAGGGTTTATGATCGTTTTTTTCTTATTTGGGAAATTAAAAAATTTGAAGGGAATATTTTAAAGGATTTATGTAACCATCTAAAATCCTTCAACGTTCAATTTTAACTATTCTGATTTAGAGGGTTTTGAATGATAACAAATGATAATTTTAACTCGATCTAAAATGAAAACTGATTCAAATATTTGAATACAATAAATGATTATAATTTAATTATAATTTTCGTAATCATTCTTTTTAGAAATTACTTTTGCAAACAAAAGTAAGGATTTTTTTTTTTTTTTTTTTGCATTTATCATCTCCTTCAATTCCTTCTTCTCACGGTTAATCTTCAAATCCCAAACTCCCTATGTGAGGGAATTTGCCGGATATAATAAATTTGTGATTTGAGCGGTGTGTTATAACTAAGTGAGTGATATAATTAATTTTACTATTTTTTATTTGCATTTGAAATATTATACGTTTGAATTGCCCATGACTGATTAATTCATTAATTAATGTCTAACTCCATTTAAGGGAGGAGGCTGGTGCTCTAATCACACGGACTGCAAAAATCGCACCACTTCAGGCCTCGGAACTTCTACTCATTTCAACAAAACTTTCGCCTTCGATACTCCTTTTTTTAACAGCAATTCCACCAGTAATCCTGGTAATAAAACTTTACTTTTTCATTTTTATTTATTTAATTATGTTGTTCCTTTACAAAAAATTGTTTGCATGCAAGCAGACTCTCCAAGTTTATTAATTTATATAGTGTAGTATACATGTACGGAGTGTATGGGGTGTTTGGATCTGATTCTCAAAACTGATTCTCCTTCAGGGAGCAGAAGCAGAAGCTGGAGTGTTTGGGTGAAATTCCAGAAGCACTTCTTGTGCTCTAATTTACTCTCAGAATCAGTTTTTTTAGAAGCTGGGGGGTACCAACTTCTGAAAACTGATTCTGCATCTGTTTTAAAAAAGAAGCAGAAGCAGAATCAGTTCCAAACACCCCCTATATAATATAAGGGGAATTTGAGTTTTCACCCTATTTTATTATCCAAATTAGACTTTACACGCCGTTTTTTAAAAATTTTGTATTTACACCCAATAGCGCATGAAAAGACAAAAATGCTCATCCATTAACAATTCTATGGATCTTGAAGACACTTTTGTCTTCTCATACATGATTGTGGTGCAAATACAAAGGTTTTTTTAAAAATGGAGTGCAAAATCTAATTTGGACAATAAAATGGGGTCCAAACTCAAATTCACCCCATAATATACCTGAAAATTGTTTTTTAATTGACCAATAATATAATATGGGTAAATCCAGTCTGAATAATGTTTATCCATTTAGTAGCGTTTTTAATATTATCCAAAATGCACAATTACATACAAATTTTTAAATTAAGGTCATAAACACGTTTACTGTTAAAGCATTGGATGTGTAAAAGTTGATATTAAAGAATTCATAAAAACTGAGAAATAACTTCATAGAATCATAAAGTTTTACGTATTTGATTCACAAGCGAAGACTACGAGCCTACAACGAATTATTTCGTCAACAATTTCATAGCTAGTCCTGATTTTTTTTTATTAAAATCTGAGAATTACTATCGCGCGTATATAGCACTATCTATCGATAACAAAGATATAAAAGTGTGGTTCGTATAATTACACAATACCGAGTACAACCTAAAATGCTTTTATTTTGAAGATCGATAATTATAAATTTTCCTTAATTAATTGATCGAATTTGAGAATAATGAGACCATATATAAGGCTTAGTGAGTCACTAATGAGACCATATATAAGGCTTAATGAGACCATAATTAAAAGCCTTATAATTAAGGTTCCGGGCCGGGCAGCCCGAACCGGGTCCGGCCGGACTTTTTTTTTTTTGGGAAGGAAGGCCCGGGACCGGCCCGGGTAGCCACCGGGTCCGGTCCGGGTCCGGGCCGGGCCTCCGGTTTGCTTTCCTACCCCCCCCCCAAACCCCTCCTAACCATCAAGCCCAACCCGGGTGGAACCCCAAAAATGAAAAAAAAAATCAATTAGGCCCGGACCCGGACCCGACCCGGCCGGGCCGGTTCGCCAAATACAAGGCCCGAGCCCGGACCCGCCCCCCACCGGGCCTAGGCCTGACCCGGACCCGGACCCGAGAACCGGGCCCATGACTATTAGTGACCATAATGCATGTTACATGCCAAAAATTTAAACCGTCCTTCTAACTTCATTACTGGATATGCATATTGTGTATGCATGTTTAGAGTTCTACAACTGGAACAGGGTGTTTGTTCCATATTGTGACGGATCTTCGTTTACGGGAAACAAAGAAGCTGTTGATCCGGTAAGTACTTGACTGTTTCATTCAGAAATTCTCACCGTAAACGTATACTCATATGGCTAGGGCCTAGGGCTTATTAATTTAATTTTAACCACTTGAAGCTTCTAACATTTTATGTACTCTTTTATAAGGTTACTAATGTAACCTACAGAGGTTTCAGAATCTTTGAGGCCACAATGGATGACCTCCTGTCTAAAGGAATGAAGCATGCTCGATAAAGTGAGAGTTGAGAGCTTTCTCTCAAGGAAACTGGTCACCACCAACGGTCAGATTCCTTTCTCTCACGCCGCCGTGAACCACCGACTCCCGGAGCTAAGACATCTCCTGTACTAACAGTCCATCTACTACTGTAGTACAAGAAAACACTATTCATAGTTGACTTTTGTTTTTTGTGGAAGATTTACAAGGATCTAAAGCTTGGGGAGGGAATCCGAGATATGTATGGGGGTCGCCTCACCAGGGCGGACCTCTAGACATAGTTTTCTTCTTTGAGCTTTTCTCCGTTCTAAAGTTACTATTCTTCATCGGATTTGATGGGCAGAGTAACCAACCGTAGCTCCAAGCTCAAAGGTACTCCACCTGAGAAGAAAACATCATTGAGAATCCAAGCTATGCGTACAAAGGATGGAGCAGGGACTAGCAATTCTACTGGACCTGAGTCTCAAAAGGGGGATGGGGAAGCCAGTGTGCTGGGGGCAGAGGAAAATAGCCTAACAAAGGTGGGGGAAGATATGATACCCAAACAAGATGGTAATGGAGGGGGGGCTACACCTAAAGTTGTTAAGACCGTGGAAGTGAATGTCACACATGGATCTATTGACCAAGCTACTGTGTATGTTGAGAATGATGGTGGTCAAACTATTACTGTACCTACACCTATGGTTGAACAAAGGGTGGAGCAGCTTGTTAATCCACCTCCTATTGCAGGGGAAGCTGCGAAAGTACCTCTTATTATGCAAGAGGAACCAACAATTGAGGAGGGGTCATCCTCTCATGCTATGGATGATGGCGTTTTTAAGAAGACAAGTGTTTGGAAGTCACCTTGGACTTCACTTTTCAAAGATAACAGGGAACCAAGCAAAGGAATGAAATTGAAGTATATAGAACCTGTGGGGGACTATGTAGACTTATCCAAAAGAATTATGCCCTCTATTATTGACCTATGGGGGTTCTGTTTGGTGGGGTACTTTGCAGGAAGGTTCCCCGGTCTGAAGCCTATACACGAACTGGTTGCGAAATGGGAGGTGCAATGTAATGTGAGACAACATGATCAAGGTTGGGTCATCTTTAAATTCAAAAGTGAGGAGGCAAGGAGTAAAGTTCTTATGGAAGGCCCTTACTCACTTTTTGGTAAATCTTTGTACTTAAAGACCCTGTCGGAGGACTTTTCCTTTAATAGTGATGAGTTCCTAAAGGTGCCTATTTGGGTCAAGTTTCCTTACCTCCCTATGCAAGTGTGGGATGAGGAAGTGATTAGTGAAATTGCTTCTCGTGTGGGTACTCCATTGACTACCGATAGGATAACCCAAGAGAAGGCAAGATCCAACTTTGCTAGAGTTCTAATTGAGGTGGATGCCTCTAAAGCGCCCCCTCTAAAAGTAAAGGTTAAGATGCCAAATGGGAAGTTTCATAACCAAAAAGTGATATATGAGACTTTCCCAAACTTTTGCTTCCATTGCAAGGCATACGGCCACCATGCTTTCACATGCAAGGTCATAGCCGACATGGAGGAGAAGGAAAGGATAAGGAAGAAAAAGGAGATGGAACAGGGTGAGTCACAACCGATGTTGGAAGAGCCTAAAGAGACTGAAAAGTTGGGAGAAGAGGAGAATATTACTGTGGTAAAGCTGGATGCTCTGGACATTAATGCCGCGGTCACTGCCCAGGGTAAGCATAATGCCGCAGTACAACCTAAACTAAAGCAGGATACCGCGGTACAAACTAAACTAAAGCAGGATGCCGGGGGAGCAAAGCTACCCAAGAGGAAGGACCACCACCCTTTTATACAAAAGGTAAGGTTGAATAAAAGAAGGAAGACAAAGAAGAAAGGTAAGGAAGATGGGGAGATCACATCTGAGTATGAGACAAATGAAGAGGAAGGTGACCCAAGAGTGATTAGAAATTTCACAGATGTTTATAATGATGAGGTCATTGTCACCATGCATACCGATGAAGTGCTCACACCTACCATTGAGGTCAAACACTTTGATGATGTAAAGGAGCCTACTATACGGCTGAATCATCTTCTCAAAGTGGTTGAGGCTGATGCCCCAGGGGTATGGTTTACCAAACAATGTCTGGAGAGTCTGCCCGGAATTAAGAAAACAAAGAGGTTTTATAGATTCTCACAAACCTTCATGAAGTGTGTCTATAGACACTTTCTTGATAGATACTTTGAGGATGGGCACCCGATGGGAAATGGAAGCAAAGTTATGCACCCCAAGTTCATAAAAAAGAAGGAACACCGGGTAGTGAATGATATACGAGAAGCCTACCTAGATGATGTCATAACCAAGGCTGAGTTTGAGGAAGATGGGACATACAAAATTCACCTAATGCACTCGGGACACATAGAGGAAATGATGATAAGAAGGGACAACTACCTATGCTGGGATGATGGCAAGAGAGATGGCCTCACTTTTACACTGGAGTGTTTCAACTCACTGCCAGGAGCTCATGAAACGGGGGAAGGGTATGACTTCTCACATCTTTTTATGCTTAAAGTTTATCCTCTATTCCTTGATAGGTACAAAGGATGTGAGAGCTATAGAGAATGGGTACAACGGGAAAGGAGTAGGAACAAGTTGTACAAGAGAGGGAAGGAGAAGGATACACATTGCTAATGTTTATAGCTTCTTGGAATATAAGGGGGCTGAATCAAGCCTCAAAACAAAATTCAATACTTAATTTCATACGGCTTAACAAGGTACGTGTATTCTGCCTTCTTGAAACTAAATTATCTAGTAGTACTTTTGAAAATTTTATGAGATTTAGACTTCCAAATTGGATGTCTATAACGAATTTTGATAAAATAGGAGGGGGTAGGATGGCTATAATTTGGGACTCTGCTTTTGTGGATGGGGTGATTATGGAAGTTGATAAACAACATATTCACGCCCGGTTTACTTGTAGAGTAACCCAACTAAGTTTCTATGTGACTTTTATTTATGCTTTGTATACGGTTTTGGAGAGGAGAGATCTTTGGAAGCATGTGCACGGCTTAGGGACTAACACACTTGCTCCTTGGGTGGTTTTGGGGGATTTCAATTGTGTGTGTGACCCGTGTGAGAGGAGAGGATCCGCACCCCCCTCGGCCTACCTCATGAAAGACCTTAATGAACTTAGACTTTGCTCCAACCTTAATGATGCGCCTTCTACAGGTGAATTTTTCACTTGGCATAGAGGGTCAATTTGGGCCAAACTAGATAGGGTTTTGATAAACCCTCTTTGGAGTGCCCAAAGTGTGACATGTCAAGCTCACTTCGTGGAAATGGAGCCTGGGTTTGACCATGTGGCATCGTTGGTAAGGATTGGGCAAATACAAAATTTGGGCTCCAAACCTTTCAAATTTTTTAATATGTGGCTTAAGCATAAAAATTTTAAGGACATTTTAGGAAGAGTTTGGCTTAGGAATGTTGTTGGAACAGCTCAGTTTAGACTTGCTCGAAAACTAAAGTTGTTAAAGCAACCTCTTAAGCAATTAAACAAAGAAGAATTTAGCCACATTTCTGCTAGAGCAAAGGAATCTAAGAAGGAGTATAAGAGGATCTATCAATTGGCCCTAATGTCTCCTTCGGATGATGCTTTAAAACAAGAACTTCTTGAAGCAAAAAATAGGTCCATCTTCCTTAAAGACGCCGAAGAAACCTATCTTAGGCAAAAGGCTAAGGCTACTCACCTTTTACAAACGGATAGGTGTACTAAGTACTTTCATTCCATTGTGAAGAAGAAAAATGCAAAAAACTTTATAGCCGCCCTTAAATTGGAAGATGGAAGTCTTACCCAATCTATGGGCCAAGTCGCTACAGAGTTTGTTACGTTCTTTAAGGGATTATTTGGGACCTACGTACCCTCGGATGGATATGATCGCCATGTGATTCATTCGGGTGCAACCTTAGACCATACACAGGTTGAGAGACTCATTAGACCAATTACTAACTTGGAAATCAAACAGGCTCTATTTGATATTGGTAATGATAAAGCTCCTGGCCCAGATGGTTACTCTTCAGCATTCTTTAAATCCAATTGGAGTTTAGTTGGAGAGGACTTATGTGAGGCAGTTGGGGAGTTTTTTGCTTCAGGGAATATGCTTAGACAGGTCAATCATACAATTATAGCATTGATCCCTAAGACAAACCACTCTCCCACTGTGTCGGATTTCAGACCAATTTCTTGTACAAATGTTACGTATAAGGTCATAACAAAGATTTTAGCAAGTCGTTTAGGGCCTCTCCTTCCCACAATTATACACCCTGCACAAGGTGCTTTTGTGGATGGACGATTGATGGCGGATAACATCTTTCTCGCACAAGAGTTAGTGAAGGGGTATACTAGGAAGAGATGTTCGCCTAGATGTATGATCAAGGTTGATCTTAGAAAAGCATATGATACGGTCTCTTGGGAGTTTTTGGAAAATGTTTTGAAAGACATTGGGATTCCCACACTCTTTGTCAATTGGATTATGGAGTGTGTCACTACCTCCTCCTTTTCCATATCCATCAATGGAGTTCTACATGGATGGTTTGAAGGAAAAAGGGGGTTAAGACAAGGGGACCCTATGTCTCCATTATTGTTTGTGATATGCTTGGAGTATTTTTCTAGGATGATAGATCTTAGGACTATGGGCCCTAATTTTAAATATCACCCGCTATGCTCCAAACTAAAGATTTCTCACCTTGCGTATGCGGACGACTTGGTTTTGTTTTCTAAGGGGGATTGCAGATCCATTAAGATCTTAGCCGAGACTTTAGAGGACTATGGAATGGTATCCGGCTTAATGGTTAACCATGACAAGTCTAATATTTTCTTGGGAGGTAATGTGGCAAATGCACTACCCCAAATACTTGACTTAGTGGACTTTCAACAAGGATCCTTCCCGGTTAGATACTTAGGTATTCCATTGGCCCCTCTTAAGATTTCTGTGGCTCAATTCTCTCCTTTGATAGATACGGTCACGGACTATATTAATGCTTGGAATACTAAGACTTTATCGTATGCGGGGAAGCTTGAGTTAATTAGGTCTGTCATGCAAGGGGTGCAATCCTTTTGGTTGGGAATATTTCCGGTTCCTAGAACCATAATTGATAGGATTGTGGCCCTTTGTCGTATTTTTTTGTGGGGTGGTAAATACGCCAAGGTAGCATGGGAAGATGTTTGTTTACCTAAGGAGGAAGGGGGGTTGGGGATAAAAAATGCAAGAGTGTGGAATGATGCACTCCTTTCTAGAACGCTATGGAATATCCATAAAAAACAGGATACTCTTTGGGTACGTTGGGTGCATGGGGTATACCTCCATGGGAGGGATGTGTGGACATTCGCTCCACACAATAGGGATTCTCAATTGATGAAAAGAATAGCCTTGATCCGGGACTCCATTGTCTCTAAGTTCTCTAGTCTGGCTATGGCCATCTCCTTTATTCAAAAGAACTCCCTTAATGGTAGGATTATCACGGGTAAGGTGTATGATCTACTTAGGGTTAGAGCCAACCCTCGGATGTGGATGTCTTTTATATGGAAATCTTATATACCCCCAAAGTTCTCGTTCATCATGTGGTTAGCTTTGAGAAATAGGCTACCTACATATGATAATTTGGGGTTCCTTGATGTGATTAATATTTGCCATTTCTGCAAGGGTGGACCGGAGACGGTTCCACACCTATTTTTTGATTGTATGGTTACAGGAAAGGTATGGGAAATGGTAAAGCAATGGCTAGGGCTAAGGAGACAAATGACAACATTAAGGAGTGCGGTCAAATGGATCAAAGAGGAGCACAATGGAGCTAACATTAAAGCAAAGGCCATAAGGATATCTTTTTGCTATACAGTCTATTGGACATGGAGAACAAGAAATGCCGTTATTTTTGAGGGAGCTAAGGCCAAAGTGGATGATATGGTGTCACAAATCAAGTATATGGTGTATAAATTGCTCTATTCTATATACCCGGTCCATATGATTAATTTTTGAGACTCTGGCTTGTGTACACCCATGTTTTGTCATAGCTTGATGGCTGTTTTGGTGGTGAATAGCTAATTCATATAGTTAGCTATTACGTAGTTGGTTTTTGGGCATCCTTGCTTGGGATTGCCGTTAGTTGTTTTGGCCTATTGTGCATATTATGTACATTAACATTCTTGGATGATTATATTATACATTTACAGTTCATCCAAAAAAAAAAAGAATGAAGCATGCTCAAAATGTAAGATATTGCTCCGTATTACTCCGTATTTAATTTGTATGTAGTATAACTGAAGGCTACTAATAATAAATTAATAATAATATCTAGCTAGACTATATTTTGGCATAATTTTGCAAGTCAAACTCAACTTTAACTTTATTAAACAGTAGAGTGGATATGTTTGTCATTTATTTTTTATTTATCATATACCGAGTATGTTTTTCATTTATTGAAAATTAAAAAAAGTGGCTGGTTATTTCTAAAACAGTTCATGTCTAATACTCCGTATATATATATGTATGCTATCAAAGGAAAAGCAAAAAGATACGAGTAGTATATTAACTTTTGACCTAAAAATTAAAGAGCTTACGTAATACTACGTAGTATGTGATATGGTAATTAATATTGTAACAATGGAATTAATTATAGGCGATTCTTAGCGGAGGTTCGGCAGGGGGATTGGCAGCTATGATTCATTGTGACCGGTTTCGGGATCTTCATCCAATTACTGCACGAGTCAAGTGCCTCGCAATTGCATCTTACATTGTGCATGAGTAAGTTCACTTCAATTAATTAGTAATTTAAATTACACATAGATCACCAAATTACATATAGGGTTTGGCAGAAATAAGTTAAATTCGTGTCAAAAACACTTTGACACGAACCATTTGACACAAAATATATAACTTGTAAATTCTTGTCAAATCCGTGTCATTCCGTTTTTTGTAATAATGATATGTCATATATGTGTGTTAAAGTGAGTTTCAAGTAAATGAAATACGTACTATAGTATAACTTTGAACATATTATGCAATATTAAAGGCGACTTGGAACAATATAAACATGCTTCTAGTCGATGTTTCAACAGGGCACATCTTAATGAAAGCAAACAGTTTGAAGCAACGTTCCAGGGGTTGATCAGTTTACACGTATTTTAGCTCTTCCCTTACAAGTTGACATTATTATATGCTATACGCACCTAATTAAAGACACTCAAATTTATTAACCCTGGAGTTGGCTTTGGGTTTCTTAATTAGGGATCTTCCCAAGCATTGCCTCCCCTGTGCACATCAAGAATGAGTCCGGATTTGGTGAGTTGAGACAAAGTTTATTGATAAATATTGCCCAATATAATACTCGTATGATGCAATTCATACATACGTATATACTAATAAAATTCGATTTTATCTGGCTGCCCATCAGTGCTTCTTCACTCAATACTTTTTGCCGACTATAAGAACACCTGTTTTTATAGCAATGTCGTCATTCAATCTAATCCAAGTATGTCCTTGGCTTTAATACTCATCTTCTAATAATAATGATAATCCCAACCATTGGTTGGTACTAAATAGTGTCAATGGTTTTTCAATCGGTTTTTGTCAGATAAGTTATAACCTATTCCGGGCGGATGAGGTTTGCCTTTTCCACAATAATTGCACTCATGATCGGCTCAAGGCAATCCAAGGTAAATACTTGTTATAAAGCTTTAAGCACCACATTTGACTTCATTGTGTAACATCACCCATTTTTGGAAATTCTACAATAAGCTACATGCATATTATGTTTTTAAAGAACAACCTCTACACCAAAACTGTGGTATCAACATAACTTGATACGGAATTGACTCAGATTAATCGAGTTCAGGCACGACTCAAAACATATAGTTTACACGAACGGGTCCTTCCTAAGCATGATTACGAGACTAATTATGGCTCTCAAATACTCCTACTTTACAAATATTCGTGTTAAATCCGTGAAATCTCGCTAGTGTTTTGTATGTGCACAAATTTGAGACACATGTATAAGATATGCATTGTTTTTTAACAACAATAAACAATGTGTAACTGTGAAAATAATTAATAAAGGAGAATTTATTATTGCAATACTATTGCACTATAATAATTCATAAACACAAATTTGAGACTGGTATAGGGCTAACACTTTTTCCAACGTAAGACTACTTTGGTATTTTTACGCATATGATAATGCTTAATTTTCTGGAAAATTTAGATTTGAGGCAATACGTACTTTCCACGTTACCAAAAGCTTGTCCTTCCGAAAGGGGAATGTGGATTACTAGTTGCATCGCCCATGATCTACCATACTAGCCTGCCTCCAGCGCTCTAGGAAACTCCGAAGAGTTTCCTCCTTCTGTTGTCTCACATTCAGAAGGTGGGAGAAGTGTTTCTTTGAACGATGCCTCCCGACGAATTGTGTGAGGAAGCGGAGGGCAAGTTCTTGTCAAGAATCGATGCTGCCTTCGGGCAATCGGTTGAACCACTTATACGCTGGCCCCTCCAAGGTGGAAAGGAACCAACGACATAAGTACTCATCTGACGCCCCCATCATCATCATACTATTTTGATACCTGCTGTAGTGTTCTTGGGGATCCGTCTTCCCCTCGTATGGTTTGATGGGTTGCCCCCAGGATTTGTTGGGGATCTTGGCCGCCAGCACCCTTGGGGTGAAAGGCGTCCTAGTGCGGAGTTGAATGAGGGGTTCGCCTGAGCCTTCGACGAGTTTGCACTTCATTTCCTCCACCTGTGCCCGGAGGTCGGCGTACTCCGGATCCGGCCTCGCCGTGGAAGCCGTCGGTGGTGCCTGACGCGTCTCCTCGAGTTGACGGAGGAGGGCCTCGATGATTTCGTCCTTGGGGTCCTTCGGAGCAACCCCCTGAGAGTTGGCCCGGAAGGATTGGGCCTGATTGATTTGGTGCCTGGCATCCTCGGGGTGAAGGAGAGCCTTGCCTTTGCTTCGAGGAGGGGGCATGCCCTCGGCCCCCGAGGCAGAGGCTCCGCTCTTCTGAGGCCCGCTGATGGCTCTCTTCCCGAGGCGGTCTTGGACCCCTCGGCGTTCGGGAGCACCTCCTAGCCTCTCAAGTGCAGAGGTTCGGGGTTTCTCCTTATTGATGGGGTGCTTGTCCTTGGATTGGACCTCTTGGGAGGCGGTGTCTTGCGCCACCACCCCCTCGTCATTGCCAATCCCCATGATGGGATTGTTCCCTCCAACTTGAGGCTGGAGGGGTGCCTGAGTGGCGAAGGCTCCTGAGTTGAGAGCCATGTTTTGGACGAAGGCCGCAAAGGCAGCCTGAAGATCGATAGTCGGGGCCGGAGGGGGAACTTGGTTCTCACTCCGATCCCTCTTTCGATTATCAAGCCCTATGCGGGCATCAGGAGCAGCCTTCTGGAGTTTGAGACGGAGGTCAGCGGCGGCCTGCTCTATCTCAGCAATAGTGTTTCCCTCGGGCATACGGTTAGAGGCCTCAGCCCCGTCCGTTTCGCTGATGGGTGCATGGTTTTCCTCGAGGGTTTTGGATTGAGCACGAGTTGTTCTTCCCATTTTGGTAGGTGTTTTTGTTTGGTGAAGGGGAGGGTTTCTTACTTGATTGTTCAGACCTCTCAACGAGAGCACCAAATGATGGATAGTCTACCCGGGGGTATCTTATCCGAGGGGTTATTACGGAATAACCTAGAGAGAAGTCAAAGCAAACAAGTAGGAGAGAGAGGAGATTATTGTTTATGAACTCGAGATGTTCTGGCCCGTTTACAAGGAGAAATGGGTTGCTATTTATAGCAGCAATAAATGCGATGAGAGTACACGTTTCAGTAATCCAACGGCCAAAGGGTCACATCAATCGGGTGGCACTGGCAGTGGCACGTTCACCGCATTGAATGCGGTGGGTGGATGTGACGTCGCATTAAATGCGGTGGTTGGCTGTCTTTAAAGGGAATCTTCGATGATTGAGCTGTTTAGCCGAAGGCTCCTCGTGGGGTCGAGGGCTTCGTCTGACCGAGGGCTTCGTGTAGCCGAAGGCCTGCGTAGCCAAAGGCTTCCCTGATGCCGAGGGCTCATACGGCCGAGGGCTCCCGTTTCTGCCGTTTTTCCCAGTGGCTTCGTAGCTCGAAACTGGCTGCCCTGTGTAATTTGGAGCCTTCGGCCAAGGAGGCCGAAGGCACCCCAGTGTGTATTTTGGGCTCCTTTGAGGCTCGGGCCGTTGCATTTGGGCCTGAGATGCTCCCTGGGCTTAATGGGCCTGTGTAGGAGAAGTAAGAGTCTATGGGCTGGGGGTTCCTGGGCCATATGCTCCATCAAACCGTATACCTTAAACCAAGAGCAGTAATAGTTTAGTAAACCCTTATAACGGAACATTCTTATTTAATTGAGTTTAGCCATTGAATTGATCAAAGCATTGGAATTGGAATAAAGAAAATTGCTTTTCGGATTTTTAGGGTAATTTGGGACGGCAGTAGTCTGCAATGATTCTGACACAGACAGATTTCGGATCTGACAACTCCGTTTTACACATTTTCAGAAACCAGCTAAAAATTTACACTTTTTGGAATGCATAACCTTATTTCTACACTGTTATGTCAAACAACCAATAAGGTTTAAATGTTTTCCACAAATCCTTGGGGTCTGAAATATCACAGAAAACAAGAAGGGTTGCAAAAAGCTCACGAAGGCTTTGTAGCATTTGATATAAAACTGCTTCACACAAGCATGCTTCCACACCATTATCACCTTGAAGTAAACCACGTTTATCTGCAGCTTCTCGAAAGCTAGATGTTACAACTCCGGTAACAGTTTTCAGATCTTCAAAAGAATTTGGTGCTCGCACACTTTGTGGTAATAGCCGTAAGTAATATCGTTCTCCCTCAGTTGGATTGACATTGACAACTCTTCCAATTACATGTTTGTTCTTTCTTTGCATCCAAATCTTATTCGTGGTAGACCAAACAAAGTATTCAGGAAACTGAATATATAAAAGATTAAGTTTTTTTGCCACCTCATCCCGAGCATTCATTTGGAATTATTTTGTATGCATGGTTCGAGATTGAATATCGTCCTTGACTATTGTTTTTATCCTTTGAGCGCCACAAAAATTTATGTATTGAAAATTTTCCAAATGAACTTGCAGTTGGAACACAGACGGGTGCATATCTGCAATTGGGTAGATTGCAGAGACCCAATCGTATCGTATCATATCATATATAATACGTAGTATTATATTATGTTATATTATCGTTTTTTTTAATGTTATATTATCGTATGTTGTATTGTATTGTATTGTATTGTATTGTATTGTATTGTATTGTATTGTATTGTATTGTATTGTATTGTATTGTATTGTATTGTATTGTATTGTATTGTATTGTATTGTATTGTATTGTATTGTATTGTATTGTATTGTATTGTATTGTATTGTATTGTATTGTATTGTATTGTATTGTATTGTATTGTATTGTATTGTATTGTATTGTATTGTATTGTATTGTATTGTATTGTATTGTATTGTATTGTATTGTATTGTATTGTATTGTATTGTATTGTATTGTATTGTATTGTATTGTATTGTATTGTATTGTATTGTATTGTATTGTATTGTATTGTATTGTATTGTATTGTATTGTATTGTATTGTATTGTATTGTATTGTATTGTATTATATTATATTATATTATATTATATTATATTATATATACATGTGTATATATGAATATGTGTGTATACATGTACAAGATTATTTTGGACATTTTAATGTTAATCCATATTTTAAATCATGTGTTCCAAACATGCGCTTATAACATTGTTTATTTAATACACTGCTTATTAACACATGTCTTAATAAGTACCGCTTTGTAACCGGTGTAGTAAACATATCCTTACATTGTCCTGAAGGTCGCGGGTCTATTTATAGTCGTATCAACAATACATTTTGCCCTTAAATGCTGCACACAATTTGTTAGCTCTTTCAGTGCAAAGCTCTGTAATATAATCCAAGTCATTAGCATTACTAGAGCCCACAAGATCTAACGTTTCATAATCAATGCACTCGTCTATATATCCTTGCTTGGATAAGAATTCCTCATCTGCATTATAACTCTCATCTCCAATGGGTGTTGGTGATACATTGCTTGCAGACACGAAAAAAGGCCAAAGAATTGAAACCAAGCACACTAAGGAAATAGTGAGATGCTTCAAAATACCCATAACTAAATAAATTTCTATTCTATTTCCACAATTTGACTTTTATTTCCCGACTGTCAATGTGTTGTCTACATGAGTATATATACACTTGTGTGTTACTGCATATATAAATGGTTAATTGCATTTTTCCAATTATAAGTAACATAAGGATATTTAATAAATACTTTATATTTAATGAACAAGTTGTTTTATATAATTCATTTATCATCATTTATTGTTCCAATAAGTTCGATCCCTAAAAGTTAACTGAGGAAATTAACTTTACTCTTGTTCAAATATACGACATGATATTATTAAATTTTGAATTGGAATTTCCATATTACAATTTATTACAATTTGAATGTTCGGAGTAATATTCCATATAACTATTTCTTCAATTAAGTTATATTTTTAAAAATGGAGGTGTAACATATACACATATAAATTGTATCACCTTTTAAAGAATTTGGAAGTGGGAAGTGTTTCTATATGCACATTACAATCAAGAATAAAAATGTATACATGCACATTCAAGTATATTCCTACCCGGAAAAAAACATTGCTATGAGAAACTAAAATATTCACAATTACTTCGTACAAGATAAGATATTGAGAAGATACAAACACGTGCTGTTGGGGATGTGGTTGTGAATTGTGATGCGACCAGAATGAAATATTTATCATATTCGAAGGATATAAGTTTTTTGGTATGTTAGTCTGGGCAGGATTGGTGTATGCTTCGGGTGTACGTTATGTGTAAGCATTTTTGGGTTTAAGTGATTATTATTGAGTTAAGTTACCTTGTATTCGCCGTATACTAACTTATGAGTTGTTCATATTGGTATTTAATGTTCAGGAGATAAGCTGTTAGTCATGTGGCTAAATTCCCATGTATCATGTTATAGTAACTGATAACTTACTAAAAATATTTTAACGTAGATGTGTGATTGTCATAGTTTTTTAATCTTTTCAAGAATGTAAGCATAGGGTGGTAATGGAATTAGAAGTTTGTTGGCGATGAAGTCTAACCATTGTGGGGTTGTGTATAGGCCTATAGGGTGGAAGAGGCTGGTATATTTTTAAAGTCGTAGTAAGTGCAAACTGTAACGGCCGTCCCCAAAATGGCCATTACGATACTCAAACATAAAAGAGACTTGATAAATCAAGCGGAAATAAAGATACAAAGCTTCGATATGAGACTTTATTTCTTTTACAATAAAATCAAACCTTACAACCATAACGAAAGGCATCCAAAATAAAACATCTTTAGAACCATTACACGTACCTGATCAGGATTTTAAAACGTTTAACAACCATTTGAAGTACCAACGTACTAAAACAACAACATAACTAAGAGCCCGATCTTCTCCGTTAACCCATCCAAAACCTTGTCACCGGCTCCATACATTCTCTCAGCTTCTGTACCTCGTTTATTACCTATACATGAGGACATAAGAGAATAGAATTCTCGTAAGCAATAATGCTTAGTAAGTCACCATTGAATCCACTAAAACTTTTAGGGAATCTTAGCTAATCATAAATAGATACCCATGCTGAATACACTACACGTATACCATAATCACACATGATAACAACACATAAGCATTCATGTATCAAACACCAATAGATTTCCTTATTCACCATTCTTTCTTCTTATCTTATTCCTTGACTTTATGGGCCCGTAGCTCGTGTCCTGGCCCCTCGCTGATGACCTCGGGTAGCTAGCGCTCAGCCATCAGAAGCGACCCCGGGACTCCCTGCGGAAGGAGATCCCGCTACACTCATCTCAGGTAGTTACTTGGGGGCACGGCTACTTTGCAACATTACTTGTCTTTCATTACTTTCATTATCATCATCACTTCCTTTCATTGTTGATTCCATACGAATCAACCCCAAATCAAACATAGAACTTGAAATTCACATATCTCATGACATACAATTTCAACATTCAAGTACCCAAGCACATATATCATATTCATAATCTGCTAATCTTCCCTACTTTATTTAGAACTATCATGTATAGGTGGTGGTGACTTACCTGTAGAAGCTGAACTCAAATTACTCAATTAAGTGTGGCACCTTGATAACGTCTTCCGATAAGCTCTTCATTTATAACTCTTTAAGTAAATATATATTAGAATTAGAACTTACTGTTATTTAGCAAGTCTTTAAAAGTACGTAGTAATTATTATTGCTCTACTAAAATTCTTAAATGGGTTCTTACGACACTGGGTGCATAAAATTCCTTAACCTTAGACTCAATTGTAATAACTTATTTTGATCAAATATTTATAATATAAGATCCTGGACTTTTAGTAATGTAATAGTAAAACAACTTTCTAATTTAAGGAAAACAACTAACAAATTAGAATATACTTCTGTACCACTAGTCAGTTACTCGAAAGATGAAATACATTTAATGGAACAAAGCTTAGTTTAGAAGATTAAAATCTATGTTCTAATATATGATAAAGATATCACAAAGAATGATTCAGAGGACAAAGTTAAATATTTTGAAGGAGCGGATTTAAATTTAGACCGTACTTCAATATGACCCTCAAAGACTAATTTAATACATATGTCTACACCTTTATTTTTAGATAGAATGTTGAACAACTCACTGAGAAAAACGTAGCTATTGAAAGTATGAACCAGCCGCCAGAATTTAACAAAGCAGCCGCAACAATACTAGTTTGTCCCTGTCCATACTTTCCAAAGCTCAAATTTAATAGCAGGGATTGGTAATACTCAAATTTGTGAGGAAATACAAATTTGGATTGACAGGGAGCAACAAAGATACATTTAAACTCTATTATGGAATAAAATCCCACTAATGGAGACCTGCCCCTTCGATTAACTCCTGAAGTACCAAAAATTCAAAAGATAAACTTAAACAAGAAGGAGATTGCATACTTACCAATTTTGAGAAAGTGATCCAAGGCGCCGTTGGAAGAAAAGAAGACTTAGATGGAGAGACAGAAGGGAACAACAACACAAGCCCTTCCGTAGAAGTATACTATCTATATCTTAGATGTTATGACTGAGACCTCTAGGGATTTAGTTTTTAGAAAATGTTTCTATTAAATTTTAATTGGGCTAGGATAAGCAATTAGGACTTTAATTGGGCTAAGATTAGCAATTGGGTCATCGCTCATCTTTAAGATAATTTTCTGCCCGACCTTCTGTTAGGAATTACACTCACGCACACGAAGAACAATTAAAGAACACACAAAATTTGGTAACCCAATTCACCACAAATGACTATGTCTGGGGTGCTATCAAGCAAGGAATATTATTGTTGTTTTTGGATCTACACACAATGATTATAAGGGAGAGAGCTTGTATTTATAGAGAAGTAAATCCTAATCCCAAGGCAACTAGGATGCGTTTCCTAAAATAAATTAAGAAACGTGTTTCCAAAAATAAATTAAAAAACTCTCTCTAACACCTTACAATCTCCCACCTAGAGACTGTCTTCTTCAAACCTCCCTTGTAAGCATGGTAGCGTCGGCCTTCATCTTGAAGTACCCAGACCAATTGAAGCTATGCAAAGCTTCAATTTCTCCAAGATTACCACCTTAGTAAACATGTCTGCTGGATTCTCACTCCCACGGATCTTCACAAGCTGCAATGCCTCTATCTCAAGAAGATGACGGATGTAGTGATACTTCAACCGAATGTGTTTGGTTCTCTTGTGAAAAGCTGACTTGTTGGCCAAGAAGATAGCACTTTGACTGTCACTGTAAAGAATGATATTCTTGTACTCCTTCCCAAGTTCCCTCACTAAATTCTGAAGCCACACCATCTCCTTACTTGCCTCCGTAACAGCCACATATTCAGCTTCAGTGGTAGATAATGCAACAATCTTCTCTAGCTACAAAAGCCATGAAACCGTCGTTCAACCAAATGTAAAAACATACCCGGTGGCGCTCCTCGATCCATCCGAGTCATTCGATGCTAGGTCTGCATTAACATGTCCCATCAGCTCTCCATTCTTCTCATCAAAACACAAAGCATTAGAAGCAGTACCTTTCAAATACATCATGATCCACTTCACAGCTTCCCAGTGTTCTTTTCCAGG